TTCGTTTCGGCATGCGATATTAAATCGTTCAGAATCTTTCACCAATTCTTAATTAAGGGAATTAAGGGTACCCGCTTGTGTATAAAACATTATTTTCTGCTTATAAATGTCTGAACACCTGCCTACATTGTCACATTGTCTATACAAAAAATATTATTTAGTCAAATACCCGTCAATTGGTATCTTTTCGTTGAAATATTACTCAAATTACGCTATCATCATACTCATCACAATCTCCATAGCTGCTGTTGCCATCGCCACCATCTTGGCAAACAGAATGCCTCTCCGGTGTGGTTCCGTCATAGCACTGTCCAGACATAGAGCAAAGGTCTGTATACAGACATGAGTCTTTTGCCCCAATTACGAGGCAATACACGTGCAATCTCAGTACTCGGAATATTGGTCGTAGATATAAATTAGTCACACGTTCCCTTGTGCTATCCACCCTCACTTTCCTTTTACCATACTATCAGAAGTAGATAATAGACCCTAATAGTCCCTATTATCGACTTCTGATACTATGATCCACAAGCTCTGTCCGTCTCTTTCTTCCCTCCAGCGCCTCTACCCTTTTCTTTGTTCTTTCTCTTCCCTCGTCAATTTTGTGGTTTACTCTGTTTTTATATTTGCGACCAATTTGTGATAACTTACTTGTAACTCGGGTTTGACGCTGATCATGATGTCTACGACTAAACACGCCATTCGGCGACGTTTCTTTACAACAGGTGAACTGATGGTCACATATGCTTACATAGAATTTTTTTCAAGATCAATTAACATTAAAATTTATATAATGTAAACAAAAATTATCACTTGACAAGAGTAAGTACGGTATGTTGGATCGGTGCCAGCTATTCACGTAGCATATCACTAATAATTTATCGTAATGAATTGACTAATTATCCTTCTTTCAAAGCGCGCTGCAATTACGTAATTGTCATTTTCGACAGAAATGATAATTAGCAGCATTCCTGATAGGTTATGCTCCCTCAGAGGTCGTACGTGATAGTAAGTGATAAGCTCATGAAAGTGTAGAGTTGTAATCTTAAGGAAGGAGAAATTTTACAGGAACCTCTACGCGCTCGCAAGGTAAATGACATTCGGTCGCGAGGAGCGAAGCAGCGAGCCGTCGCACGTTTTGCAGCCGACAAAAAGTAAACAGTATTTAACCGATCGCTAAGAAGAAATGTCTACCGAAAGGTAGATGAACTTGCGCGCGTAGCCGCGCTGCAGGCAGCCAGCAGGGTAGCAGCGAGCAAACTACCGAGGAGTCTTGATGCGAGCGATCCGGCACAAAGCCCGGGATGTTCCTGGCGGGAGAATGCTGGTAGATGCCGCTCGTTACCAGGGGCTGGTGAGCGAGCTCAATCCCAGCACGCGGCCATCACCCCTGCAAAGTGTTCACGGGCGCGTTGTAACGGTAGAGCAAGAATGAATGAAATCTGCACCAGCAGACGGACAGTAGTATTTCGATATGAAACGCCGCCGTGCGCTATTCCCCTGTATTATAATTTAGCGTTCGCCACCATATACCAGTTTCGACGCATCGACATGAGTGAAACCAAGAGCGTATTCAGTATAAATACGCACATTTAATACGCTCTTGGTGAAACATATTCACTCTGAAATGTTATCATTCTTCGTGAGTAGCCTCTGAAATGATGCCACACGTACAGACGTCTGCGCGCTTCTCACGCCGAGCGCCTGACGATAAGCGATTTCGAAATCAAATTTCTACGCCTTGTAGACGCCTCGAAGCTACCACGCTCGTCTAGTACTAGATGTATTACGCGATTAGAGATATATTAGCGTGCATATTCAACGGGTGCGCTCGTCGCCTCGCGGCCACACCGCGTTCACAGCGACGTGTCCCGCTTATTGAGCGACCGAATCTAGCGAAGTCACGCGCGAACGCACTCGGAGCATACTCCGTCCGCGAAGCAGAGTGATCAGAGTGTTAATGTAGTGAAAGCGAAAACAAAACTAGTTTGCATCGCTGCTGCCCGTCATCGGCACCGCTGGGTGGAGCCGGGCTCCGTTACAGCCAAGGGCGCTATCATTGGCTTTAGCCAGACAAGCAGAACGGTGGCTCTCCACCGGCGGGGTCGGTGGGGGCGGCGACTATAAAAGCGAGCGTCGCGTGCTCCTGCCGCTTCACAGCGTCCGTCCACCCGTCAGCGCTTCAGTTCTCGCAGCTTCCTTCCGTGTGACCGCCGCAAAGTCCCCCCGCATCGATATTCACAAAAAGAGAGCAAGAGAGAGAGAGATCGGACAGCTTTGTAAAGAGAACGTGTGAAAGAGACCGAAAAATAGAAAGAGAGAGAAAGATAGTGTGAGCGTGAGGAGAGATTGAAGTAGAAAGCGAGCGAGCGAGCGAGAACGAGAGAAGTAGAAAGAGAGCGCGCGCGCGAGAAAGAGAGATAGAAATAGAGAGACAGCGACAGCGAGAAGGAAAGCGCTAGAGAGTTAGACAGAGACAGCGGACATGGCGCGCATATCTGTCGCGTGCCTTGGCGTCGCGCTGCTGGTGGCGGCAATCGACGCGGCGCCGGCGTCACGTGGTTACGATGCTCGGGCCGACGTCCCCGTCAACAGCTTTCCGCAGATCACCGGCAACTTCTGGCTGGAGCGACCGCAGATCACGCTCAACTATTACGCAGGTAAGCAGCGCGAGCCGACGCGCGGCGTCGAGGACATGCGCAACATGTGCAACGAGCTCGCCGACAAGATGATGACGAGCGACGACGCCGACGCCGACGTCGTCGACGGCAACGCCACCTCGGGACTGAATCTCACCATCGTCAAGGAGATGTCGGTGCACAACGTTAAGGTATGGCTGCAGTTTCTTAAGAATCAGTTGAACAGGGAGAAGGAGTTAAACGTAGATCTACAGGTCGAGATCGAGGCGGTCACTTCTTTCCACACGAAACAAATTCAGCTGCTGCAAGGCGAGCTAGATAAACTCTTCGGAGAGCTAGAAGAGCTGAAGCATGTGCTATACGAGGCTGATCTTAATAGCGCTGAGGGGGCCGCTAACGCACCTTACGGAACAAGCGGAGGAGACGTAACCAGGAACGAGACTATGCCAACGGAAACGCGACGAGACGATTTTGCGAGCGTAGACAGAAAAGTGGAAACGGCTTCTATCGCGCCTACGGTAACAACTACCATTATAATAACACCAACAACAACAGCACCAACCGATACACAAACGACCGTAGCAGCGACTGATGCAGCAACTACAGCAGCAGCGACTGATGCAGCAACTACAGCAGCAGTCACTGATGCAGCAACTACAGCAGCAGCCACTGATGCACCAACTACTGAAGCAGCCACTGAGGCAGCAACTACTGCAGCAGCCACTGATGCAGCAACTACAGAAGCAGCCACTGATGCCCCAAATACAGCAACAGCCACTGATGCAGCAACTACCGCAGTAGCCACTGATGCAGCAACTACAGAAGCAGCCACTGATGCAGCAACTACCGCAGTAGCCACTGATGCCCCAACTACAGCAACAGCCACTGATGCAGCAACTACAGCAACAGCCACTGATGCCCCAACTACAGCAACAGCCACTGATGCAGCAACTACAGTAGCAGCCACTGATGCCCCAACTACAGCAGCAGCCACTGATGCCCAAACTACAGCAGCAGCCACTGATGCAGCAACTACAGAAGCAGCCACTGATGCAGCAACTACAGAAGCAGCCACTGATGCAGCAACTACCGCAGCAGCCACTGATGCACCAACGACAGAAGCAGCAGCCACTGATGCAGCAACTACAGAAGCAGCCACTGATGCAGCAACTACAGAAGCAGCCACTGCTGCAGCAACAACAGCAGCAGCCACTGATGCAGCAATTACAGCAGCAGCCACTGATGCAGCAACTACAGCAGCAGTCACTGATGCAGCAACTACAGCAGCAGCCACTGATGCAGCAACTGCAGCAGCAGCCACTGATGCACCAACGACAGAAGCAGCAGCCACTGATGCAGCAACTACAGAAGCAGCTACTGATGCCTCAACTACAGAAACAGCCACTGATGCAGCAACAACAGCAGCAGCCACTGATGCAGCAACTACAGAAGCAGCTACTGATGCAGCAACAACAGAAGCAGCCACTGATGCAGCAACTACAGAAGCACCAACGGATGCAGCAACTACAG